ATTTAGGTCTCCGGCCAGGATCACGATATCCGTCTTAGGTGCTTTGAGAAGAAGCTCACATAGGTTGTGATAGAAGCCGTCCTTGACTGCATCCGGGCTACAGTCTGTGGGAGCGTATGCAGAAACCACGAATAAGCATCGTTCATTTAGTTTCTGCTTTTTGACCTTACTTGAGCCTCTGAGTCTCACTGCGCATAATTGGCTATCTATCGAGGTCCAATTCAATAGACCAACCTCGGCCCTGAAGCTTAAGGCAATACCAACACCTGCTTGACCAGACGCTGAAGCGATAGGTTCCCTCGAGAGGCGCAGTTGAAACGCTTCTTTAGGATTGGACGGAGACGTTAATCGGATCACTGAGCCGGGATCCTGGATGTGTGTTCTCGAGAGGCAACACACATCAATCTCTAGACTTTCGAGCGTACGAGCCAAACCTGCTTGTTATCCTATACGCGTTAGAGTTCTTACGTTGAATGAAGCCAGTTTGAACGTAGAGTGAGGTCGGAAGAATGGAACGGTCGGAACTGAGACAGATGTCAAAGAGGATAGCGGCGAGCTACAACATGAACCTATGTCAGTGGAACCGTTTGGGGTGGGACAAACAGTGGAAAAGGGAGGGGAATTGTGTAGGGGGGATGGAAGTGTTGCGTGCAGATTTTAAGAGAGAGCTTTGCATGGGTGTAAGATTTTGAGACATGTGTGAATGCGTGGGTTCATAAGTCCATGGTTAGCTCGGTAGATTAGTGCGTAAAATTGAACGAAAAGCTGACCAGCAACAAGACAAGGATGTCCAATGCAGATGAACTAGGCGTTTGGGGAAGCGTAACTCAACCTACATGACTAGTCCGTCGCAATCGTTGAAGCGAGTAGCAGTAAATGTGTGACATGTTATACCTTACTCAATAAAAAATGCTGTGAATGAGAGGAGACGATAGTCAAGGCACCGGAAAGGTAAACTCCGTTAGCTTTGCTTACCTCAAATGGACAACGCTATCGAGGCGGCCGCGATAACGGAGTTCTGGATGAATGCATTCCATCTCAACACAAACGGTATGCACGTTTTCCAGCAAGTAGCCAACACTGCGATAATAGTTTTCTAGAGATTTATCCAACGTTTCAGGAACCGATCCTGAGAGCAACTTTCGTTGTATGACACTGTGAACCTGTCGACCCAACTTTTTGATATCTGCATGGCGTACAAAATTACGAGGATGGCGAGGCGTTTCAACTGACTTTGCATATACTCCGCAAACGGAATGTCGCCCAGCTCCTTACGTTTCTTTTCTTGCCACTTTTGAAGGATTGCCGCACTTTCTGGACTCATTGTTTTACTAATAATGGTAGATACTGTAGGGAACGCCTTGCTGCTAAGAGCCTCGAAAGACGGTATTAAACTGGGCTCGTCCGGTCCGAACACGGAAGGTCTGGAATGGATCGATCTAGTGAAAACAATGCGCGAATATATCCAATTGATTTTACTGCC